GCTGTAGCGAGCAGGCATCATCCAGCTCGGGAAACGTAACGAAAAAGTCACCTGCGGCCGCCGCGAAATCAGTCTGTTGGCAACATAGACTGTTCGGTAAACAACTGTCGCGGTGCAGTCAGGTTAATCAGCAAGACACAAAACCGTGCGATGCAAGTGGTATGCTCATCGATGAAGACGGTCGACCAACTTGTGAAGTGATCGGTGTATACTTTAGTTTCATTAATCCCGGTGCTACCTGCGATGACTTTACACGTCAACTACTTGATTTGTACACGAATGTCAACTTGTCGCATACGGAGAATGACCGGGATGCAGAAAATTCCAGCAGAGGAAGAGAAAGGAGGAAAAAGTTCGAGGTCGTGCACGTGGTTCTTTGGAGTAACGTAGCCGATGTCCTCGACTTTGAAGAGAGTTTCCGTGCACACGTTTCCGAGTTACCCTGGTTGGCTGTACCGAATTTAGATTATGAGAGGAAGGTAAAATTTATTACTTTTATTTCTTTATTTTCTTTTGATTACATTAACTCTATTTATTAAAATATTTTTAGATATAATTTTTGTTGTATTTTTATTTTATTGAATTTTTTTCTTATTTTTCTATCTTTTCTATACATATATATAGGAATATCCTAATATACAATAGATATATATATATTTATATCTATTATATGCAACTATATTAAATAATACATACATATACATACATAATATGCATACTAATATACATACATATACATTAGTATTAATATATATTTGTTTTATAAATTTTTTAAAATAACATTAACAATTTCATTAATAATCTTATTATAATTTAACAAAAATTCTTTTTCTAAAGTTTTTAAGAAACGAGAAAGATATATATGCCTGTTTAAAATATTTTCATTTATTATCTATTTTTTTATTTTACATTTTATGCGCGCAATATATTTTCCTTTTTTCGTTCGTTTTGGTTCAGCAATTTTTTATTTTAAAATTATAATAAACGAAAGAACAATTTTAAATTCTACTTCCATTCATTTTTTAAAACGATATCACAGAATCTTTATTGTTTTGATTAACGTAGTCATGTATAAATTTCAATTAAATTCGATTATATTATATATTTTTAAGTCAAATAATAGTTGAAATGGCTATTCAAATAATTTCTAACATTTCACAAATTATAAAAATATGTGTTTCCATCAATTTAAAAAAATATATAAAAATAAATGATTTCCATGTTTCATTTCACAACTTACAGTTTTTTTTTCGTATATTTTACGATTTTTCGTCTGCTATGCGAATTTTACGGTCAGACGGGCTATGATCAATTGAGGCGAGCGTATCATTTGAAATTTGTATACACATGTCTGTCATAAAGTTACACATGTACACATAGAAGGGGTACACATGCCGTTATGCAGAAGGACCGTGCGCGCAGTGCCTTTTTTATTTCCAACGGGTGTTTTAACCCCTCGCCAGACGTGCTATTTAGGGTCCGATTTTATTTGCACCGACACACAAGGCAGAGTCGACTTTCTCTAACTAAAAATCGTTCGTAATATTTTCTACAAAACATCTGCTCCTCTATAGCTTGCTACGAATATGCTTTCAGTTCAGATCAAATGTTGTTTTTTAATGACATCGATGAAATTCGTTTCTGTAAAAGTTTTTTTTGAAATTCTTTCCTTTTTTTTTTATATTTTATACATAAAATTTTTAAATTACATAGTATAAAAGATATGCTTATAAAAATAATAATCTTAAATATTTTAATAAAAGATTAATATTAATTAAAATAAAATTTCTTTACAGAAAGAGCCGTATGAACTGTAAATTTTCAAACGAATAATTTTAAAAATCTTACAAAGTATTTGCATTATTTTTTATTTATTATTCGTTTTAATTGAAAACGAGTAAATGAATAAATCCAAATTGAGATGAGAAATGTTATTTGTGGAGATTAAATGCAGACGGCAGACCGGCTTCGTACATTGATCTTTTCATCACCCACGCACCTCGATGATGACGCACATATCTCTTGTCTCGAAAGTTTGAGTGACTCTACGTTACATTACTGCACTTTGCACACACACATAACAGATATTCGGTTTCCCCCGTGTTACTTTTTATCCATGTTAACGAGGTTCTAGTGCATTGGTGTAACGAATTCAAAAGGAAAAAGGAAAAGAGGAATAAAGAAAAAGAAAGTAACGTATAGCTTTCTATATCGAAGTTCGAGTCAACTGGTTGAATCGTTTGTGCATATAGATAGAGATACAAAATTTCTATGAAAGATGACAATTCTTGATACTTATTCAGTGTATACGCATTAGCGGCATGTGAATGTAAGAAGCGATCGGAGGTCGTTATTCTGTCTTTTTTCCACGATCATTAGTCAAGCCACTCAAGTTATTCGTGTTTGTAATACATATACATATACTCAACAGTCTGATTCGTGAGTAAATGTAACGATAAGCGTCCTGCGCAATTAGCGTCAAGTAGCTTCGTGATTCTTCCTTGCTCGTTATTCCGCCTATCTACCTGATCCATGTTGGGAATCACCCCCTTGAAATCGTAGCTTCTTTGTACACCGTTCCATTCATTTAACAATGAGAAGAGCAACTTTCGTTTCTGAAACGTAGTAAGAAAGAAACGATCAAATTCTCCCTTCTCTTTCTCCCGTACACACATAATCTCCTTTTTCAACTCTTATTTAAAGAAATCTGAGACCTGAATTCCCAATGAATATTGAGAATCTCTAAACATCCTTTAAGCAAACTTTTAATTCTTTGTCGAAATGTTTTAAATGATATTTTATAATGTTATAATATAAATTCAATAAGATAATTAAGAAAAGATACTTCAAAAAGATGATTAAGTAATTGGAAGAGGTTATGTATAATAAAGCTATCGCAACGTTACCATGCATCGTTAATACAGATCGTATTGACCTCTGTTGGCAGTTTCTGAGGTTGATATCTTCTTAAAAAAGAAATAAAGAATTGTCCAGTTTGTTTGACAAAATTGAACGTTTACTAGTGATGTGGTACGAGGGGATAGTGCTACAATGTCCGGCTGCTTGAACAGCTAAGTAATAGAGGTACGCTGCTCATCGTTTGTACGACGTAAACCGTTTCATAAAGGTACACGCCTTTACCTTGGATGGGGAAGCAGCCGAGAAAAAGAGTGAAGCCGACCAACCTTTGCATTCGGGGTGGCCGACCCATATCTTCCGCAAATAGCTTTCTCATTCGACCGGCGAGATCAAGAAAGCGACGAAAGGTAGCAAACGAAAAGAGAGGAGAGATACGTGTTTATGTTTGAATATACATCGGAAGGAAAGAGAGAGTGAATCGGTGGCGATGCAGGTCTCTTCCCACGAAAACGAGTGAAATGGAAGGAAGAAAAAAGGAATAAGAGAAACGTTGGAATCTAGATAGACTGTGAGGTAGTTCGTACACAGAGTGGCCCGTACGCGGCGCTATGTAATCCCTTTCCCTCTCTTTGCCTCCTTTCCACCCACCCATATCCACTCCTCTCCTGCTCCTGTCTGCTTTTTAGCTGGCATATCGTGTAGATTACACACGACCTACTCGGCAGTGGTCAAAGGAAAAGTGAAGTACGTGCGAATCGCCCGAATAAATGTATTCCAGTGCCTATGACTCGAAAACTCGCGTGAAACCTTCCCAATGCTTTGACGTTGTACAACCAACAGTATCATACTGATAAAAGTGGTAAAAAATTGCACGAGAAAAAAAATTAAATGTTTCTACGTCATTTGCCGCAAACGTACGGATGCTCTCTCAGTGTCTTTTATCTATTTAATTCGTCTCGCCAGAGATCATCTTAATTCAACTTATTTAAGCGACATTAATTTTCTTTTGTGTTTCTTTTTTTTTTTTCTTTCTTTTTCTTTTAGAGCATACTTCGATGACATCGTGAATCTCAAACACGTATCCAT